TGTTTCTTTATATTTTCACCTTTTATTTCTTCAGAAAAGCTCTTATTTCCTTGGACGGAAGCTGGTTGATGCCACTAGATGCCCAACGGAACTTTACCCATCTTCAGAATGGAAGTCTTCTGATTTTTATTTGAGAAGCCGGACAAGATTTGAGGTCTATAGTGAAGAAAGTCAGTAAAAAAAGGGGAGGGGGTCTAGAGAACAAAGGATAAAAAGAGCTTTTAAGAGGAAAAGATAGTTGAGGAGAGGTTGAGAAACAGAGAAAAAAGATTATGAGAAGAGAGGAAAATAGGGTCCGAGAAATAGAGAAAGGAGATTTTGAGGAGAGTTAGAAAAGAGGAGGAAGGGTCTGATAAGAAGATAAGTATAAAATAAGAGTCTTAAAAGAAAAAAAAAGTGAGAAAAGAGTAGAGAGAAAAATTGAGAATATGGTAGAAAGAAACTGAATGTATAAGTAAAAAGTAAGGAAAAAGAGAAGTAGAAAAGTAAAAAGAGAGACAATTTATGTAAAGAAGGAGGAACAACAAAAATCAAAGAAAAATGCAAGGGTAAAGACTAAAGTTGTAGTTTGGTAAAATTCTTCCAACACTATCATCCTCGTTCATTTCAACTTTTGCACGTGTTCTACCGTAAACATTTTCAAATGAGAGTCCACAAAAATTGTAGTTAGATTTTATATTGATCTTATATATGTCATTCTCATTTTCTTCTAACATTTTCTTTCCAAAAGAAATAGGTTTTAGACATCACTATGAAATGGATTCAATTTTACTCTATCAAGATTATATTAGTTTGATGTACCAAACCCTAGCAATATTTGAATACCTCTTTTGCAGAGCTCAACTTAAAATATCTCAAAATAGTTATTGTTGTGGTTGCATGCATGAAAGTATTTTCATTGTGTGAAGATTTAATTTTTGTAGGATTTCTTCATTTTTTTCATCTATGTAGTGGCGAATCTTGACCATTGATCTTGGGGGGCCAAATAATATATTATTAATAAATAATAAATAAATATAAAAGGAAGAAAGAAGATGAAAGGGTGAAAAGATAAAATTCTAGATATATACTTAAATATATTAAATGATCATTAAGTTTGAGGGGAACAAAATCATAAATTATATGAGAGTTACAAAGCCGAGGAGGGGTTGAGAGGATAAAATTGTAAATATACAAGTAAATATATTAAATATTCATTATGTTTGGGGGGGGGGCAAATCATAAATTACATGGGAGTTACAAAACTTTGGGGGGCCACGACCCCCTCAGCTCCCAAGAAGATCCGCCACTGTCTGTGTTAAGGTCTCCCACTATATTTTTTTAACAAAGATATTTTTGTTATGATTGATAACAAAGAGATTGAGAAGCTAAATGTTATTGCTATATGTGGTGTGAAAAATTGAAAGATACAACTAGGTATTTATAGATTCATAATGGGCTTTCTGAAATTCTAACATTAACTCCTTATAATCAAAATAATAACTCTCAGAATCGTAATATTAACTAAGATATCTACAAAATCAAAATATTCCAACTAACATTTAAACCTATTGTTTTATATTTAATTTTATCCAACAAAATTCTCCTGTAATATTAAATCCCTCTTCAGTTGACCGAGATGTTAGGAAATACAAGTGTGAGCCTAAGTCCCACATTAAATAAAAATGAGAAAGTTGAGCAATATATAAGGAAGTATAACTCATAATCCAATGCCTTAAGGTTATGGGTTGAAGGTGGTGTTATATTCTCTTATATGGTTGACTCATGTCTCATTTGTGAGACTATCCTTGTTGTTAGCCACCCTCGGAAATATCCAACACGAGATCGGTCATAGGCTGGCTTGCTAATTGCTCCTTCTAACTAAAACATTCTTCCATCCTCCATCCTGATTAACTTCTTGCAATTCTTGAACAACAACATAGGCTTCGTGAAGATATCAACAATTTGATCTCGGCTTGTCACATGCAAAAACTTTACATTTCCTTCTTTCATGTGTTCTTTGATGAAATAAAACCGCACATCAATATGTTTACTCCTCTTATGGTTGATCAGATTCTTTGTTAGTTCAATACCCGACTTGTTGTCAACTCGGATCATTGTCATATCGAGTTGTTTCTCCTCCAACGAGCTTAGCAAATTCTTGAGCCACACTACATGGCCTGATTCCATGGGGGTTAAGATCAGATTACAAACAACCATCTTAAACTTATTCCAAATCTCCTTTGCATACGTCTCTTGGGACTTAATATTCCTGACTCCTCTTGTCTAACCTCCCAGCCAAGGAAAAAACTTCATCATACATAAATCAATCATCTCCCATGTGTATAATTCAGATCTTCTCGTCCATAGCAACTAAGATCTTTTCATTTACAATAGCTTGGACAGGGTCACTCAGAATCTATTACTCGGGCTTAGCTCAACGAAGTTCAACTTCAGACTAGAAAAAGTGAAAGATCGACAATCTTGTTTATTACTTCTCCACGGTAGCAACTCGACTTCCTCTAACATCCTCACACTCGACTTCATCAACTCAAAGATCACGATCAACATATAATTATCATTATGAACCAACTCGGTTAGACCACAAAATTGCAGGTGACCAAATCGATGATTTTTCTTCAAAGTGTCTTCTTCATTTAATTTTAGACTACTCTCTCGAATGCTTCTCAACTGTACCTTGTACATTCTATTCTTCCTTAACTCTACTTGGTAATCAACCTTTCGAGTTTGTCTTTGAATCAGAGTAATTGCATAAAAACTCACAACTAAAATAAAAGATGAGAAAAGAGAAACAAAATCGACAATAAACAATAATAGACTTTTACTACCAGAAGAAATTATAATACCCTCTCTAAATCTTAGGAGAAAATAATAATAATATCTTTTCTAAGAAATAAGAGAATTCAACTACTATGCAATGCACTAGTAGAGAGGAGAATGAAGAAATTTGGGATTATTACAAGGTAGTCATGGAACACTAACATATAATTTCCCTAATGTGGGACTTCTCTTCTCATATTCTCACAAACTGAGTATCCTCTGTCCATCAGTTGTCTCATACTTAAAAAGTTACTCTTGAGATCTGGACATAAAACACATTTAAGATTGACCTGACTAGACCATCTTTCTACAAGAAACAAATAGTACCTCAGTCTTTTACCTCTAAACCATCTTCAAAAGACACATGATCACCCTTGAATTTTTTCAATTTTCTAAATAGGAGCTCGTCCCCAAACATGTGATTACTTGCACCCGTATCCTGATACCATACTCACTTGTAATCAGTATCTTCTCGAACTCCATCACTATTATTTTTTGTGTTAAGATCAACCATAAGAAATATTGCTTTTTTCGAGTTATAATATGCTCTCATGTGTATTGTTGAATTGTGATCGACATTCTTGTTAGTTGTCGAGTTGTGGTCGACTATTAAAAATATTGCTTCTTCAGCTTTCATCTCCTCTGCAAAATAGGTCTCTCCCATCTTTTTCCTGGCTTGACATTCTTTCGCAAAATTGTTCGAGTAACAATTTTTTACATAGTGATCATATTTGCCACACTTAAAGCACTTAACATTATAGGTCGGTGACCAACCTCCTCTCCAACAACGTCCACTACCATGCTTGTTTTGTTGATCTCTTTCTTTCATCCAACAACCTTGACCACCTCAACCTCGACTATTATGTTCATGTCCTCAAGCGTTCTGAGAGTAGAGAACTTTCTTACCTGTCTCACTCTGGAGCACTTGCATTGTTGGCTCCTCCTTTTTTTTTTCTTCCAATGTTCATAAGCTTTAAGAGAACCGATAAGCTCTTTAAGCTCGGATGAGTCCTTTTCTTGCTTTATTGCACACACTACGTTCTTAAAATGGGAATCTCAAGATCTTTTTCACAATTTGTTCTCTAGAAAACATCTCTCTATTCTGATTAAGCTATTTCGCCACGTTTTCAAAATGCAAGACGTATTCAAAAACTCCTTCTAACTCCTTCATTCTCATACTCTCCATCTTGCTATGCATTGTTTGTCGCTGAATTTATGTGTGTGTGCATGTGCGCATGTGCCTGTATGTGTGTGCGTGTGCATGTGAGTCTGTGTGTGTGTCTGTGCGTGTGTGTTTTCATATACTCCATTCTTATTCTTAAAATTTTGGTAGTCCAAATTATTATTCTCAATTTTCGATAGTCCAAACACCATACTTTTTTCAAGAAAGCAACATAAGACCATGATAATTTAATTACCCAAGTCTTTTGTGTTATAAATAAGAGTCATCACTTTTTTTCTCTATCTTCATTCATATGATTGCTACAATTTCTATCCAAATATCATAGGTTCTTATCCTCTTGAGTTGACTTTTTTTTATAAGTAAGTAATAAGTTTTTTTCACCATTTTTTGTTTCAGCAAATGAATTTTGGTGCTTATATGTAAAGTGATAATCTTTTTGAATGTGCCTAAACTTTTAGCAATTATAACATTATGGTTTACTTTTATTTCAACAATCTTTTTCTTCATGATTGTTCTTCTTACATATTTCACACCATTTTATTGATTTCCCATGATTTTCTCTTCCATTATATTAGTTTCTTCCTCTTCCATGTGGGTTTCTTCCTCTTCCTCTTCCAAATCACCACCTTTGGAAGACTCACCAATATTTTTTGGTTTATCTTTTTGAGATGATATTATGAGTTTGTATTGAAACACACTTTCAACTAACTTTTCAATGCGACGTAATAATCTCTACTCATAAGATATAAGAGATCCCATAATAATAATGTTTTATTAGTCTTTTGTTTCTTCTATGACAATCTCTATATGATCAAATGGTTCAATCATATGCATACTGATAAAAATTTATCAACAACTCTTCGATCATCGATTATATCCCCATGACTTCATTTTGTTCATCAATTTGAACAATCTAATGAAGTATTCATTCAAACTTACTTTTTCTTTTTTTTCATCCTCAATCTCTCTTAAGAGATTGAAGTTAAATTGTCCTCACCTTTGTATCATATTCGTACTCTTGTTGAAGAGTATCCAATGTTTTTTCTGTTGTTTTTACTCTCATTATTCTTGGATATATGACTAACAAAACTCTCTTTTGAATCATCCTAAAAACTCCAACGTCTTTGTTTTCTTTCCTTTTCAATATTGTTTGTTTTGCAAGTATAGTGATTTGATCTCCATACTCAGTTTGTATGAATTCTGAGACATCTAAATATGTAACCAAAGTTTTCATTCTTATTGAAAAAAAAATCATAATTTTCTCCTACAAATAAAGGAACTTGGACATTGCTATAAATTATACTACTAACTGTTAGAGTGTTGTTTGTTGTCATTGATCTTCACTTCTTCTTTTTTTTTTTTTTTGAAGGATATATAGCTTTGATACCACTTTGTTGGTGGTATTCTACAAGTGATATTAATATAACTACACAACGAACTTACTTTTTGTAAGATTGTGCAAAATTGTGAAGAGTATTATTATATAAGAGGAAGATAATTTATGGTCTAAATTGCTTTTCTTTTCTCCTTTGTTTTTTCTTCTTTCTTTTCATACATTTTGTATTACATTCAAAGATATTATAAAGACTCAGAAATAACTCTTAAAAATGCTAGAACAATTAGAAATATAATAAGTACATCAATATAATTCAATACTCTTAAAATGTATTCAATTAGAAATATATTAAATCTCCATTAAACACTTTATGACAACACATTATTCAACAAATTTATTTTTCCAACAAAGTAAAATATAAGTTTCCATCATGATCTACAACATACTCATTCAAATACCTTTATTGCTTTACCCTTGCCAAATATTTAAGAATGTTAGAAAAGGATGATGATTCAGATGGACAGGCAAAGTTTGTTGCACCAAAATGTGGCTACTCAGATCTATACTTTTTCTTATCATGTGCTAATTTGTACCAATAATACATTTTTTAAATCTTTCTTTTACAAAATTAATTAATTCAATAACCTTATTTAAATCATGTTTGCACATTTTTTAAAAATTCCAAATCACATACTCAAACTTAAAACGAAGGTAAAAACTAACACCAAAATACAACAAATGACTTATGTTATCAATACTACACTAATAGTTATGATATTTCAACCTTATGTCACAATCAGTTGGGGCTAATATAATACTCAGATTCATAGCAACATTGTGAAGTGTGGAATGAGTAGTAGCCAATTAGTGAAATGCAATGTGTATACTCACATGCAATGATGTAGTAAAAAACTTAACGATATGATAGAAAATTTTCATAAACTTAATAGATGCTTAGGGCATGTTTCCAATCATTAGTAGTTATGGGACCTTCAACCGTAAAAAAAATCATATAACTAAAGTGATGTGAACATGACATATGATAAGGGCTAGAGCAAGGGAAGTAAATGAAGTTTTTCAACAAGTATTGTTGGTTGACCAAATTGTGTTTTGGATTAATCAATTAATGGACTTTAGTTTGATTTTGTTTTAAGTTGTAATAAGGGCCCAATTGAAAATTTAGTCATCAGCCTTTGGGAGATCAAGGGGTGCATAGCTGATTGACTTTTGATTGCCACAGTTTCAGATACAATCAGTCATTAAGTAGTTTCAATTCCTAGGTTAATGGATCATTATTAGCCTTTATTTGTTTCCATTAAATAGTTTTCAATTCATAGATTAATGAGTTATTATTAGTATTTATTTTCTTTTATTGAGTCTTTTGTAATTCTGATGGCAACGTTTCTTTATAAGCTGAACCATTCTTATCAAGAAATAACAAGTGAAATTTTATTTAGAAATATTAGAGTTTATCTCTTTTATCTTAGTGAGAGTGATTCTCCTAAACTCTTGAGTGATTCAAGAACCCTTGGCTGTATCAAAGGACTGTCACATCCTTTGTGTGTTGCCTCCCTTGGGAAGAGTGATTCTTTCCTTCCACCTTCTTTCTAATTCCTAAATTTCTTACAAGGTTCTAACCCTAAAGATCCTAAATTACCCCTTGTGATTCATATCATTTGGTATTCAGAGCTCCGGTTTAAGGGTTTAAACATCAAATTGATGGCAGAAGAGGAAAATTACAATCAAGAAGCAGGAATTAGTCCAATTCAAATGAGAGTATTGGTACAACATTTGGAAGGATTAATGATACGACATAACAATGAGCTCCATGAAAGATTGAACCGGTTGGAGAATAGAAATCCTGAAGACGAAGAAGAAAGGAGAAATAGGAGAATGAATGATGGAGTAACAAGACCAAGTAGGCTTGAAGGAGTCAAGCTTAACATTCCTCCGTTCAAAGGAAAAAGTGATCCAGAAGCATACTTGGAGTGGGAGATGAAAATAGAGCATGTTTTCTCATGCAACAATTATGAGGAGACCCAAAAGGTGAGGCTTGCAACAACAGAATTTTCTGACTATGCTCTTGTTTGGTGGAACAAGCTACAAAAGGAGAGAGATAGAAATGAAGAGCCAATGGTTAATACATGGACTGAGATGAAAAGGATCATGAGGAAGCGGTATGTGCCGGCTAGTTATGCAAGAGACTTGAAATTTAAACTCCAAAAACTTACTCAAGGCAACAAAGGGGTTGAGGAGTATTTCAAAGAAATGGACATGCTCATGATTCAAGCAAAGATTGAAGAAGATGAAGAGGTAACTATGGCCCGATTTATTGGTGGTTTGAATATTGATATATGTGATATTGTTGAGTTGCAGGAGTTTGTTGATATGGAGGATTTACTTCATAAAGCAATTCGAGTGGAGCAACAACTCAAAAGAAAAGAAGTGACTAAGAAGAGTTCTACCAACTTTGGATTTTCAAGTTGGAAGTACAAAGGCAAAAAAGATGGGACTGTTACTTCTAGTAGTTCCACACCTATTCCTACAAAGACTCATTCAAAATATGAAGAACAACCCTCTAAAAAAAGTAGAGATGTGAAGTGTTTCAAGTGTCAAGGCCTAGGACACTATGCTTATGAGTGCCCTAACACAAAGACCATGATTCTTAGAGAGGGAGAATATATAAGTGAATCTGAGGTTGAAGAGGGAGAAAAGAGTGAAGACACTGAGGAGGAGGAAGAGATTCCAAAGGGAGATTTATTGATGATTAGGCGATTACTTGATAGTCAATTGAAACCTATGGAAGAAAACCAAAGAAAAAATATTTTTCACACTAGATGTTTAATCAATGACAAGGTGTGCATGATGATCATAGATGGAGGTAGTTGCACCAATGTGGCTAGTGCTAGATTAATATCAAAGCTAAATTTAGCTACCAAACCACATCCTAGGCCATATAAACTCCAATGGCTTAGTAAGGATGGAGAGGTGCAAGTGAGACAACAAGTTGAAGTGGACATTTCCATTGGAAAATACAATGATAAGGTGCTTTGTGATATTATTCATATGGAAGTCAGTCATTTACTTTTGGGAAGACCATGACAATTTGATAAAAGAGTTAATCATAATGGGTTCACCAACAAGAATTCTTTCATACACCAAGACAAGAAGATTGTGCTCAAACCTTTGAGTCCACAAGAAGTATGTGAGGATAAAAAAAAATGAAAGAAAAACTTCTTCAAGAAAAGAGAGAGAAAGAAAGCATTAGTGAAACACTTGAGAGGAAAAAAAGTGATCAAAAGAAGAGTGAAACACTTGAAGTGAAACAGAGCTATTTAGCCATAAAAAGTGAGTATAATGTTTGTTCTACATTTAATTTGTCAGACTTATCTCTTTTTAGTGTAGATGATGAATCCGATTTGAGGACAAATCCTTTTCAAGAGGGAGAGAATGATGTGAACATGACATATGATAAGGGCTAGAGCAAGGGAAGTAAATGAAGTTTTTCAACAAGTATTGTTGGTTGACCAAATTGTGTTTTGGATTAATCAATTAATGGACTTTAGTTTGATTTTGTTTTAAGTTGTAATAAGGGCCCAATTGAAAATTTAGTCATCAGCCTTTGGGAGATCAAGGGGTGCATAGCTGATTGACTTTTAGTTGCCACAGTTTCAGATACAATCAGTCATTAAGTAGTTTCAATTCCTAGGTTAATGGATCATTATTAGCCTTTATTTGTTTCCATTAAATAGTTTTCAATTCATAGATTAATGAGTTATTATTAGTATTTATTTTCTTTTATTGAGTCTTTTGTAATTCTGATGGCAACGCTTCTTTATAAGCTGAACCATTCTTATCAAGAAATAACAAGTGAAATTTTATTTAGAAATATTAGAGTTTATCTCTTTTATCTTAGTGAGAGTGATTCTCCTAAACTCTTGAGTGATTCAAGAACCCTTGGCTGTATCAAAGGACTGTCACATCCTTTGTGTGTTGCCTCCCTTGGGAAGAGTGATTCTTTCCTTCCACCTTCTTTCAAATTCCTAAATTTCTTACAAGGTTCTAACCCTAAAGATCCTAAATTACCCCTTGTGATTCATATCATAAAGTCTTCATTGTTGAACTCTTCAAATACAACTTGAAATTTTTTTTTGTATCAAACATCAAATATGTGAAATTTTCTCTTGTGGAAACATCAAGACACTAATTTTTTGCAATCAAATTTTGAAAACTCTTTATGTTCCTTAAAATTACCCATCCTTTGTGGTGAAAACCTTACAAATCTAACAATATTTCTAGTACTTGTTATTAAATTTGCAAATTTTACCTTCTACCATGTTTAGTATATGGGCATAACATCTGACATAGAAAAATTGTCCATCCATTATTGTCCCACTCAAGCTCTTTATTCTCTTTTTAAAATATGTTACAACCACATCATTAGATGATACATTGTCGACTGTGAGTGTAGATACATTTCTAAGTCTTCATCCTCTTAATACTTTTTCCACTTTCTTCCTTATTATCCCCCCTTTATGTTTAGGAATGACTGAAAAACTTATTATCCTTCTTTGACACCTCCAATTATTGTCTATGAAAAGTGAAGTAAGTGTTGTTAAGAGGTAAAAAGTTGATATAATTATGCTTTGAATTGTTATGAAACCACTTAACTTATGTTAATTCTAATATATTTTTCTCCCAATATAGGATGAATTCGAGAATACCTTGATACAAAAGTAAGGAGCATAATTGTCAGCATAATTGGAGTAAAATTGAAAGAAAGAAGAGCGCTTAAGCGAATGAATGATGCGAGGCCCGACCCAAATTCTCTTATAAAAAGATAAGTTGTGTTTTGAGAAAAGGAATCAGTCTTGGAGGAGAGGAGGCATGACTACTGT